AGATGACCATGCAAAAAGCTTATTTATGAATGTTCAAAGCTTTTATGTTTAACATTATTAAATGCATTAGGTATTATAAACTAGCAATGAACTTAATTATTTTAATTTCACATTAATCAGTCAAAGCTAATGTACTTTTATAATAAACTGAAGGATCTTGTGACACTGAAGACTGGAGCAATGATGCTGAAAATTCAGCTTTGCATTACAGGAATAAACTACATTTTAAAATATATACAAATAGAAAACAGCTATTTTAAATTGTAATAATATTTCACAATATTACTGTTTTTACTTTGGACCAAATAAATGCAGCCTTGGTGAGCAGAAGAGATTCTTACATTTTTATTTTTTTAATCTATTGATAATTCATGTTTGTAGATAATGCATTTAACTAATTTTAATTTTTACATTTTGAAATGCAAGTAGAAATTAACAGTAACTTTTATCAAGTACTATAAAATAACTGTTTACTGTTAGTTCATGATACCATTACATTCTAGTTTATACTATTCTAATAATTACATCTTTAAAGAATAGAATAAAACATTCTAATCTAATCTTTAAGGAATGTTACATCCTGTATATTATTAGCAAATTAAACAGAATAGAATAGAATAGAACAGAACAAGAAGGAAAAAATTAACAGAATAGACGATAGTAAATACAAGTAAAAAATAATAAAACAGAAAGAACATTAAAATCACAAAATATGTAAACAATGTTATTCTCTGCATAATAACAGCAAAGAAAGTGAATATAAAATAACTATCACAAAACAACAGCTAGAAGAAATGAATAGAACACACTAGAGAGAACAGAAGTGAGCAAGAGAACAGAACAGAACATTCTGATGATTAAATATTTAAAGATTGTTACATCAAGCATATTAACAGCAGCCCTGCATTCAGATCTGGAGAGGTTAAAGGTCAGGTCTGAGTGTTTGCAGCAGAGGTTAGAAGCCGTATAAGGTGTCAGGAGCCACATCACTTCAGCATACAGCTGTAAACTGACCCACAATCCCCTGCAACCACACACACACACACAGTCTCAGAGGAAGCTCTTCTCCAGATCCTGGGCTGAAATAGTCCTCAGAGGTGGCGGTCTGGACCGAGAGAGCGAGTGAAAGGGAGACGCGCGCTGAGGAGGTGAAAGAGGAGGAGGGAGCGTGATTATTGAAGGAGTATCAGAGAGAGAGCCGTAACTCCTTCCTCCTTTCTCCATCCTCTGCTGCATCCATCCCTCCATCACATACCCAGAAAACACCGATGAGGACGAGGTGCTCAGATCCAGAGCGATATCTGACAGACAGAAGCAGAGCGAGTACAAAACCCCGTCATGTGTGTGTGATATTATAGTTTCATGAATCTATCTGGAGCTACTTAAAAGAATAAGCACACAATTTTTAAGTGAATTACTCATTTTCAAATTAGATGAAACATTTTATTAGGCCATGCAATACAGAATTAATTAAAAGCACATTTATTATAGTTTATAATCACTTAAGTTCTTGGATATTTTTCAAGCATTTATTGCAATGTATTCTGGGATTGTGAGGGATGAATGCTGCTGTTTATTTTGCGAGCACCTGATTCATGCAGCTGAGTGTGTGAGTAAATGTTTTTAGTGTAGAACTGGTTGTAGATGCAGTAAACCACAGCCATCAGCGTCAGAGTTCCTACAGCGGCAGCGATGAACACACCCAGCTTATTGTTGTTCTTCATCATATGAACATCTGTCAGTGTAAAACAAACACACACAGGTCACAGGTCAGTAAAGCTTCAAATGAATTCATCATAGGAACAGCATCTATATTCTATCATGTTCTGGGAGACAAAACTCAAAATAAAATAAAATAACTATTAATAAATATTAATAATACTTTTTTTTTTAAACGAATCATCTTAAATAAAATAAAAGAATAATA